CCCCAAAACCCCAAAACCCCAAAACCCCAAAACCCCTGAGGAAGAATGGATTATAGAATTTAGTAATTGGATAATTAGGGATAAGGGTTGGAGAGGGCTTTGAGAGGGTGGTTAGGGTGTGCTTGTGTATGGAGAGAATGCCACTTTGGAAATAGAGACATACTGATGTGAAAGAAAGTGGGTTTTAGGTATCGTTAAAACTCGTCCTCTTAATTATCTAAGAATTCTTTTGATAGTCATTCTTTTCATTTATGATTTATGCATGTTAATTTCATTCTTTGGGTTTGGATATCTCAACTTACTCTAAAGAAATTACTTAATATGAGAGATAGGAGTTTAAAATGTGTTTTGATAGGGAAAATTTGAGAAATATAGAAAGATATGGATGAACTACTTTTTGATAAAATATTTATTTTGAGTTCTAAAATCATTTCTGCTTTCTACACCTTGTATAAACTAAAACTATACTTATTTGAATCATCATGATTTTATAAAAAGTCGTCTAAATTTATTTTTAGCTTGTTTTCTTCGGCAAACTATACATAAAATGCACATCTAAAACTCTAATTGGCCTAATTCTTAAACCATTCAATACCAAAGCACTCCACTTCACATATATAAATTGACTCTAATGTCCTTCTTTTGAGTTTCAAAAGTTCTCTGTAAAACCTACCTTGAAAGACTTCGTTAAAATCTTAACATCAGATTGATGTGAGAAATGGCTTTGCTACAGATTAAGACAAGCTCATACCTCCAAACCTCCTTCTCTTGCCACCTGGATTTGTTCAGGCAATTTAAGCTGGGATTTTTTGACTAATGTCTTCGGATTCGTCTTATTCTTGTAACGATTCTTTCACTTTCTATTATAAGTTAGGTTTTGTAAAAATTGGATATATTTTTAGACCTGATCAGGAAATACTTACATAATGTCTCTGATAAGAGCGACAAAAGATACAATGATTCCAATGATAGGTGCAAATATCAGAGTGTACATGTATATGTCTTCATAGGTGTCAGTCCAGTCTCCTCTGTTTTCTAATGATATCAAGCTCAAAGACAGCATGAAGTATATTATCTGGTTGATTCATTCGTTGATATTTTCTTTCGGATCACCAAAGGGTCTGATGATCACCAAGTAACACATCGAGATAAATTGTGTCATTGCAAACAGACTGGCTCTCAATAAATATATTCCTTGCGGTAAAAATATCAAAATCAATATTGACAAAAACCTCCAGAGCATAAATAGAACAGAATGGAGGTGGGAGTATTTCCCATTTTTAAGCCCATCAAACAGTTCTTTGTACATCCAATATTCTTCATGAATGGCACCCTTGATCTGACTCCAATACAGCCAAATACTAAGAACAGAAAAGATAGTAATTGAAAGCAAGAAGACAAAGCTGAGGCCCAACGAAATAATGGTCGGAATTGAGCCGGTGTTGAAGAGTTTTATCTCAGTCATAATTGAAAGCATCATGAACAAGAAGCTTTCCATGATCAGTCTGATGTATATGTTAAAAGTCATCAGCCTGAATAAATTTTTCATGAACTTTCTCCATTTGTGCTCTTTTGGTTTGTCTTTAGAGTGTACATACATGAGTAATATCACAAGATGAATTGCTCCAAACACAACAAATGCAGTCATTAGAGATATGTAATTAAAGAAAGAACTTCCAGATATCAAACCAATGTCGTTGAGGTATCCATCTTTCTGAGGAAATGATATCCATTTTTTGAGTTTTTTGATAAATGGTAACTTGTTCAATTGCAAGAAATCGAACGATATCATAGCGAAGTCTACTCCAAGGATGAAAGCCTTAAGTTTGGCCGGAAAGTACGGAGGCACCATCGGGAGCAACAGAAACAATTGGAATTGATTAACTATAGAAAACGCACCATTCATTGATGACATTGAGATAATTGATGAAGCAATTGAAATAGATGTTCCAACCGCTGCCATGGTTTGAGCCATTTGAACGCTTCCTTCAGCTGCTCCATCTTCAATTCATTCAGCACTTCCTTCATTGTAATGGTATCCTGGCTGGCAATCTTGCTGCTCATTGCCAGATCCTGATGTTTGTGGATTGCTAGGAGGCGTAGCTTGGGTGCCACCACAAGCAGAACAAGATGAATCGGCACAAGGTGCAAGTGTGATGGTGAACTTCTTGATAAAAGTTTGTCCGTCAGCCTGTATTTGCATCCCAAATACATACTCAGTTGTTCCATCATTTGTATAAGGTCTGTTCATTTTTAAAGATTTTGCTGATTGGTCAAGAACAACCCAATTCGGAACTTGTTGGGATGTAACCTGGACCAAAGAAAAATTTATAAATGTCAAATTGGTTGTATGATATCAAGCCCAGATAAAATTGAGATCTGTGATTTCTCAAGACTGAACAGTTTGTACAAAGTCATCATTCCAAAGAGCTATATATGTCTGTTTGTCTGAATTGTTTGAATCGATGACGTCAATGAAGAATTTGGAATAGAAGAAGTCATAGGAAAGCTAGCAGTAACAGTAGGAGTATGAAATGAACCTGTATCAGTTGGAGTTTCTGCAACTAGCTGATGCAGTGTGCCAAGACTTGTCCATGCAGAAGTCACTTCAGAAAATTCACTGATCTGACCTAAACTATTTGGATGAACTTTTGAAGCAAACATATAATTGCTTACTGTATCACTCCCAGCCAATATGATATATTGGTCTAAAAATAGAACAACAGAGCTAAGACCAAAAGGAACTGTAGTCCCAGCCTGAAATGACTTTTCAACCTCATAAGTAAGTGGATTTATAATATCAATCATGTGAGAGCCAGATTGCTGAATGTATGTAACAATAACACGCCCATTTATTTCTAATATATCAAAAAAGTACCTTCCTTGTCCCGAAATGAAGATTCCTTGAGAGACGGAAAGTAGAGTAGTAAAGTTCAGTGTGTAAAATAGAGAGTGGCCATAAACTGTTGAAAATAAGTACACATATTGCTGATCTTGACTGATCAAAACTCTATTGAACGATGCAGGTAATGAAAAAGAAGTGGATGTCATTCTTGATTTCCAACTTGCAGTTTCTGTTACGAAATCAAGAGAAAGGAAGAAGAAATAATTGCCTCCTACTCCAGATGCATAAAGCCCAGCTATAAGAGAGCTTTGTTGGTATGGATAAAAGGCGTCGGCCACAGTATTAGCGCTAGTTTGGAAACACTTGATATTGGTATTTCCTTTTTCAAATCTTCATATATTTTCCCCTCCAGGAAAATTCAAAGCAAAATAAAATGCTTGGTTGAGAATAAGTTTTGCCCCATTTGAGAACGTCGCTAATCCATCTGAAATCTGATATATCACATTCACCGAAAAATTAGTAGACTCATCAATTTCAATCAATCTCGAACCTCCGTTTTCCAAAAAATAGAAATAACTCAAATCATCCTCTGCTACAAAAGAACTCACAACAGGCTTAATATCAAAAGTATGTGCCGAAACCCTTTCCAAATTCTCATCAGTCTTCATCATAAACAGCACTTCTCCTGAGCTCTGATAGCTGCCCATGAAGTAGTAATTGGTGTTACTAGGGAAAGCTTTGAAGAGGTTGTTAAAAGCACCTCCTGTGCCACTTGATCTAACTTCGAATGTACTCCTGGATTCTTGTTGAGCATCTGCTCATGTATTAGCTAATATTGCAGGCAAAATGGCTAGAAATAGGGTTAAAATCTTCATATTTATTATTTTCAGCCATTCCTAATCTTTATGGGGTTTTGGGGTTTTGGGGTTTTGGGG